GAAATGATTATAACAGTGGTGCACGATGTTCCTCAAACAGGTCACCAAGGACGTGACAAATGCCTTGCGAGAATTAGAAAAAAAAAGTGTTTGGAATACTATGAAGAAAGACATAGAATTGCATATTGTTAAGTGTTTGTCATGTGCTCAACATGACAAACTACAAGGTCACCGGTTCCAATTCTACAATATTCTACACCAGAACGTCCGTTTGACACAGCCGCGATAGACTCGCTACAACTTCCATGGAGTCATCAGGGATCCTCGTACGTCCTAGTGTGTGTGGATCATTTTTCAAGATTTGTGATTTTAGTCCCACTGAAGGATAAAGCAGCCGAATCTGTGGCTTATGCCTTAGTGATGAATTTTATATGTCCTTTTACTACGCCCAAGGTTCTTCTCTCTGACAATGGATTAAAATTCAAGAATCAGCTAGTAGCATAAATTTGTGTACAATATGGAATACAAAATTTTTTTATTACAGCCTATCATCTACAGTCTAATGGCCTTGTCGAGAGAACCAATTGCAATATCCTAGAGATATTTAGCCCGATTGTGTGTGACATGCAACACACATGGGAGGATTGGTTACCGCAAGTTGCAGTATCTATTAATAGATCGATTAATAGCTCTACCGGCAAATCACCCTACTATATTGTTTATGGCATAGACAAACGTCTGCCTTATGACGTACATACGGACAAGCTATGCCCTGTTTTTAATATGGAAAATTTTGCGACAAAACAGATCAGCGCTCTGACAGATCTTCATGGCCAAGTACGGAAACCTTTAGCAGCGTCACGCGCTGAAATGATTTTTAAGCAACATAAACAAGCTAAGCCTGTCATGTTAGAAATAGGCGATGCTGTTATGGTGAGAGAACCTGAAAGGAACTCTAAGCTTTCAGTCAAATTTTCTGGTCCATTCCGCATTATCGCCAAAGAAGCGGGAAACAAGTTTAAAATTTGGAAGCCTAATGCACAAACCGCAGATGTAGTCTTAAAAGGGGCCATGAAGATATATTACCCAAGAAGGGTAATGATGTCATCGACACATCTTTTCAGACGAATGGTAATGATGTTCTAGAAACATCTTTTCAAACAGTACACAAATAAAGTGTACCTAATGATAATTATCGTTTAAAACTTCGTTCTGCAAACAAATATTAAAATACATTGAAACTCTTACAGAATGGCTTGGATCATCATTGTGCTGCTCCTACTGCTTTGTGGCACCTCTGTGTTGACGGATATGTCCACGGAAGTCCTTAAACCAGGTGCGCTTGTTGCACCCCTTGGATGCGTTCTCATTGTTGAAGACTTGGTGAACAAAAAATATGAATTGCACGGACTGCTCAAGCTTCCACGCCAAATGGAATCCATTGATGCTCAACTACAGACAGCTTTGACTGTACTTGATGATCTCCCTAAGAATCCAAACAGTTCGGCAATGGTTTCACAAACTGTTCGGCTTCAGCTACTTCGACTCGGAGCCCTTCACAAGATTCTCGTCGCTGTCGGAAACACTATTCCAGCGTCTCAGAATGATCTTGCAAAGAAAGTGCGTTCCCAAACACGAAAAAAGCGAGGATTGTTTAATTTTGTTGGTCTTATACAAAGCACTATTTGTCACAGCGACTGCCGAGGATGTAGCTAAACTAGGAGACTGCATGAACATTGTCGATCAAGCTGTTTTTAAACAAAATCGTGTTATTACTCAAACTTTTCATGCCATTAGTGCCTTAAAATCGAAAGTTAATGGGATTATTTCTGAGTCTAAACATTTATTTAGGGTTGTTTATAAGTTAATGAATTCAGTCCTTACGTTGGAATGGCTCCTTTATTTTTTAGAGTATTTGCATGCTGCGGAAAGTTCTGTTCAAGATATAATTACTAACAAAAATGAACTTAACGCAAGCATCGTGGATGCAGGGTTAGCACGAGTGGATGTAAAACTTGTGCCTGTGAAGACTCTTCTTGAAACATTACAAATAGCCAAATTGACATATTATTTTACTCAAATTTTCCCAGATCATGAGGTAGAATATTATTACCCTCTGTTGGAGTCAATGTCACACACAATGCTATTCTTAACCACATACCTATGCTAGGGCAACACAAATTTAATGCATGGCATTTGGAACCCTTCCCTTTGTATTTTAATGACACACTGTATACTCTGGATAGACCAAAGAACTTTTGCCAATTGATGAAGATTGGATGATCCTAGAGTATTATCACGATGTAAATCGTCTTATTTACATTTGCACGTAAGTCCAGCCTATGTATTCGCATTTATTCCTGCTTTAGAAGGGATATGTGAATTAGCAGTCATTCAAACTAATGTACGCATAGCGCTAACATAATGTAGTTATAGACCAATTTCTAGAAAAACTGTTTTTCATGCGCATCTGCATAATGTGCTATATTTTTTCTTTCCTAATGAAGCTAACGTCATTTTAAAGTGCCAAGATGGTAGTAAACAGTTAGTTGTGAAAGGTTATTATGGGGCTCCACATTACTGTGAAATAACTTGTAGTTCGTTGGAAACCTTGCCTTCTCATGAGCATTTTGCATTGAATTTAAATCTTACTTCAGATTTAATTCCATTGTTTCAAGTCCTTAATTTAACAATTAGTAAACTCAATATTGTCTCAGAAAAGTTGAAAATTATTTCTTACTTGAGAGAGTCACAGTTTGCTAATTTAGAAGATCATTTGCCATTTTATTTTGCATAGGGATTTACAATACCAAGTTTAACCATTCCCACTATTGTGCTAATTCTGGCAGTGATATTTTTGTTTTGTTATTATAAGTCAGTATCTTCCAAGTTGGACATTGTACATAATATACTATCCGTAAAGACACTTAAGTCTAGAACCACTGTAATTAGTGAACCTATGGTTCCAGAGCCCCCATCTTAGTGTCTACACATATGTTTGTAACAAGTTATGTTTATGTATAGGATGTATTCTACAAGACTAGTTAATTCCTCGTGGGAGCTCGGAAGGTGGTGACTGAGAGATGGATTAGCCACTTAGTTTTTATATAAATGTCAGGGCAGTACATTGAGTTTATATAATCATATCACCCCTTGTAACTTTCCACTGGCTATGAAATGACATGGTCACATAATGTGATGGGTAAGTTCCTTGAAGGAGCGGCCCTAAGAATGTCAGGTCAGCACATAGAAGCCGGCTACTGGAGCACTTTTACTCAACCGCTCACACAAGCAGGAAGTATTTTAGAAGAGCTATTTAATATAGCTTCCGTCCTCATTTAACACTCATAGCTACAGTGATTAAGTTACGGTGACATACACTTGGAACTTTATATAATATATTTTCTTTATAAATACAGAAAGGACAGTTGTGTTTCGCTACTAAAACCCTATATACTTTTACATGTTCCAGCCCCATTAACTCATCAAGAATCAACGGTTAAAGGGCCAGTTCACACCCACCCTACTCCAGATCATATAGAATAAATCACTACGGTTCATACACAACAAATCACTACGGTTCATACACAACATACACTAGACACCCTTCACCACAAATGAACAAACACCTACATAAACACAGCTCTATCCTACTACTCAACATATACTGCAGATAATTAGGCGACAAAGAAATTGAAAACCTCCTAACCACACACTCTCAGTGAGAGGTATACTTTGACAATATTATACTACCACACAGATAAAGAAACAGGAACTCATCTATACTAAACAGACCCAATACACCATACTCATCCCTTCTGTACTAAACACATGGTGATGCAGCTCAGGCAAGCACCCCACACTGTAGGATGAACCAGGCTGAGGCCTGGTTCGAAACGACATTTAAGTTAAAAACCCCCTGTCTCTGTGGACCATAGTTTCCTTAACAAGAGAAAACTATTGTCGTTGGTATCGTCAATGTTTGATCCTTCCTTCTAAGCTGCCCGAATACTCTGACCTTTACAATTAGGGATTCAACACCCTCAACTCCCGCCAACCTTGAATTTAAAAACCAAGGAGTTAAACCTCTCCCTCCTCACCTTCTACTCAAACTTGACAAAAAAGCTCAAATCGATCTCCAGCTTTCACCAAAATCCTCCAGGACGATACGCTCATCCTTCCAGGCTACAAGTAGTTCGACATTACAAGATCAAAGACTCAAAACTCTTCCTCTCTAACTCGCTCTGTCTATCTTTGACATAAAAGTTCAAAGACTTTACCTTCACCTTCTTCCAAGCAACACTACCACTAACCTACCTTTCGTTTTCAAGGTGACGGTGTGGTGGGGTGCGATCCCTGCCGGTTTTTTGGCCCGGACTGTGCCCGTGGCGATGTCGGTCAAGAAAAAGAAAAAGAAAACCCTACTCCCGGCCCCCCTCTTCCGCTGCCGGGCAGGGTGGTACTACTGCTGACAATCTTGGAACAACCCTACCGCCATCATGCAAGCTGTGTCGAGCCATGGCACCTTTTTCTACTCCTACAAATCCCTTCCATCCGCCCTTTACCCTTCCAATGAACCCTCTTCACCCTGTCACTTGCCTTTTAGGTAGCTAGCTGTAAATTCAGTTGTTTCTGAAGATGCCTTGCATAAAGACGAAGCTAAGGTGCTCCAGTGTTACCCTTTTCTTGTGTGGTTTTATTAAGATTTATCTTGTCCACGTTTTCATTCTATGGATGTACATGATATATATATATATATATATATATATATATATATATATATATATATATATATATATATATATATATATATATATATATATATATATATATATATATATATATATTTATAATACCTAGTTAAATAACACAATAATTTTCATAAAAGTCTAATTGCAAACTAGATGACTTTTGTGTGTTCATAAGATTTGAGTAAACACAGACAAGAAATACAGACGCAGAGACCTGGACGGAAATGTAAACAAACATTGTATAAACCATCGTATGAAGATCTTAAGAAAAATAAACCCTAAACAAACAACATTTGATTATATACATACTCAAAATCAAGCAACTTGGTAAAGATTTCAAGCAAGTGGCCCATTGGTCCTTCAATCTTGATTTCTCCGTCTTCCTTCATGATGATCTTGGAGTAGGGAATCCACTGAGGGAAGGAGGAAGGTACTTTACTAAACGTTCAACTGTGTCACTTTTGTTCTATGGTTAAATATGAGTTAACTTACTCTTCGCCCAAATCACCCTTGTGTTCAAACTCATATTACCTAACGCCAAGTTAGGTCGTGATAACTTTTTTTCGAGTAATTTATAAATACAAGTTTACTACTGTATGAATTTGTCCTCAGCTTATTGAAAAAGGATTGCGAAAAAATAACATTTGCTGAAGATCTGCACAGTATTTCACCTTTGAAGAAATTGTTTATGAGGAAGAGAAGAAGGCTCATGAATTTGCCTCCCGACAACGTTTTTTTTTTTTTTGTAGCCTCTGGCCTGTCGAATTATTTAAATTTATAACATGGTCGAAAACTTAATTTAATCCTTTCTTTAGAAAATGGTAAATTCTTTGTAAAGTGACGAATGATGTGTTGCAACATCAAAGTTAAGAGGCGAAATAGATAAACAATGAATTAATAAAGCTTGAGGAGCAGATGTGTTAATTTCAGGTTGAAGATTAAACGGCTTACAAGACAACACGCACCCGTTCAAAGTCTGTGTTATAAATATTTATTTCTAAATTCAGATACTTAAATTTTCCCCTCAGCAATTGTTACACAGACTTTACACTACAATTTTATTTGCCATAACATCATTAAAACCTTAAACAAATGTTTCATTGTATTTTTTTATAACATTTAAATGGGAAAACAATAAGAATTTGTATTTCTCTGTCATGTTTTTCACTTCGCCAACTTGCAGGAATATTGTAATAAATAAAGTTAATTTATATCCCTTTTTACTGTTTTCGGAATCCCGCTAAATTATCCCAGTGGGGTTATTAAATCTTCATTACAATTTAGCATTACACTGAATAATCTCTGTAATTTCCTCGCTTCACAAAACCATCTAACTCGTCGTGACCTTGAGCGGTTATTCTTCATTAGACAGTAAATTTTAATCAATTAGTAGCTTGAATATTTGTTTTCTTTTTGTTACTTTGGCATATTATTCAATTTTGAATGTTTTTCTTGTTTACTCATTCGTTAAAAAAAGTGAACGATTATTTAGATAAAATTTTTCACAAGCATTACATTTTCGATATGCTCTTTAACTAAAACGTGTTTACTGCATTTTATAAATATTCTAATCGTGAAAAATTTCGTTAATTCAAACGTTTATTTTTTAACAATTAGGACATCAGACCAGTAACTTAACCTAACCTAAAGGGACTGCCCAGTATGGGCCAATAGGCACGCTGCAGTTTACTCCATTCTGATGTTCTTATGTAACCTAACCTAACCTAACCTAACATAACCTAACCTGACAGAAACTAACCAAATAAAACCTAACATAGCTTAACCTGCTTCTCTGGCGGCTGCTACACAACCACTTCATTTCTCATAATCAAGATGATCTAAATTTCGATTTCACCTTTTCTTAAACCCTTGAGTATGATGATTTAACTCTTTGAATAATGTGATTTTACCCCTTCAGTGCGATGAATTAAACACCTGAATACATAATAACATAAGAACATAAGAATGGAGGAAACTGCAGCGGGCCTATTGGCCCATACTGGGCAGTCCCATTTACACCCAACCCCTATTGCTAATATATCCATCCAACCTATGTTTGAAGCTATCCAGCGTATTCGAATTAATGATGAAATTTGGTAACTTGTTCCACTCATCCACTACTCTATTTCCAAACCAATGTTTTCCTATTTCGCACCTATATCTAAATTTGTCTAATTTAAAACCATTGTTAAGAGTTCGCTCCTGGTTGGATAGTTGAGTACCTTTGTAATGTCTCGTTTGTTCAGTCCTGACTTCCATTTATACACCTCGATCATATCGCCCCTCACTCTACCTCTCTCGAGGCAGTGCAAATTTAGAAGCTTTGACCTGTCTCTGTACTCAAGGTTCCTAATGCCCGAGATATCCATTCTGTAATACGATGACCAGAATTGAACTGCGTAATCCAAGTGAGGTCTCACAAGCGCAAGATATAGTTTTAAGATGACCTCGCTAGTCTTATAGCTAACACTCCTTTGTATGAACCCAAGTACTTTGTTAGCCTTGTTTCGAGCAAATACACACTGTTTACTTGGCTTAAGATTCCTACTTTTCATTACTCCTAAATCTTTCTCGCAGTCGAATTTCTCAATAACATCGTTGTTCATCTGGTATCTGTTTTCCCTGTTTACATCTCCCATACTGAGTACTTTACATTTATCCACATTGAATCTCATCTGCCATTTTTTTAAACATTTGAATTTTTTTTTTTAGATCGTCCTGTAGTATTGCGGAGTCATCGTCAGATTTAATTACACGCCCTATATTAGTGTCATCAGCAAATTTACTTACGTTGCTGTCTACGCTGATATCTATGTCGTTTATGTATATAATAAATAATAATGGTTCGAGTACTGAGCCTTGGGGAACTCCACTAGTGACGTTGCTCCAATGGGATTTAGTGCCGTTAATGCTCACTCGCTGTTTCCTGTCCTGTAACCACGCCCTAATCCATTTTAGAATATCTCCTTTATTGCCATGAGCCTCCACTTCTCTTATTAGTCTTTTGCGGGGGACTCTGTCGAAGGCTTTGCTACAGTCGAGATATACCACATCATAATTGTGCCCCTCGTCCGCTTGTGAAGCCATATTGGGAATCATTGATTAACTTTTGCTTCTCCAGGTGATTTAGAATAGAGATTGAAATGATTGCTTCCAGGGCTAAGGGTATAGTAAGCTCTTCCTTACATTCCTTTAATACTCTGGCAAATAACTCAAGGGAACTGGTGACTTATTAGGCTTTAGTTTGTCTAGTTGCTTACAAACATCGTTACTAGTCAATACTATCTCGCTTAATTTATTTTCTTTGCTATCTCTGTATAAAGTCGGTGCTTCGGGTATCATGTTTAAATTTTCGGTGGTGAAAACTGTTGTAAAATATTTATTCAGATTATTGCCCATTTCTCCGTCGTTATCAGTTAGCTCGCCGGTATCCGACAGTGTTGGTCCAATAATTTCTCGTGTTTTAGTTTGGTACATTTGATAAAATCCCTTGGGGTTTGACTTCGCCTCCCTTGTTATCTTCAGCTCATTATTCCTCTCGGCTTTTCCTATCTCGGTCTTAACCCTACCGGCCAATACCTTATAATAATCTCGGATGTCGACTTTACAATGATTTATTCTCCTACCTATAGCCTTGCTTTGTCCAATTATATTCTTTAAATAATTATTTATCCATTTAGGGTCATTGTTGATTTATCTGATTTTTCTGTATGGTATGCTCTGCCTTTGTGCATTAAGTAACTCATTATTTAAATTGTTGTGTAACTCGGCAACCTCAGATCTCGTTATCAGGTCTCCCGGTAAAGTGAAGTCGCCCTATGTGGGTACATTGTGAGAGGTCACCTCATGTGAGGGCATCTTGTTCACCCCCAAGTGTGATACACCTTCTCTCAGCTGCCTCTTCAAACTATCAAAGTTTGCCCTTCTGAAATTTGGGACTTTAGTGGAATTTTCCTTGCGGCTGCCCTGAAATTCTAATTGGAATCTACTTTCTTTGTGATCGCTTTTAGCAAGTTCGTTCCCTACCTCGACATTACTAATGAGGTTTTCTCTGTTTGACATAACTAAATCGAGTATATTATTATCCTGGGTGGGTTCGGTTATATGTTGGCTTAGGAAACAGTCCTGGATTATTTCAAGAAAATCCTCTGATTCTGAGTTACCAGTAAGGTCAATCCAATCTATTTGGCCCAAGTTAAAGTCGCCTACTATACAGACTTTGCTATGTATGGAAGCCCTGCGCATTTCATCCCAAATAAGTGGCTCATTAACTGTATCAAGATTAGGAGGTCTATATATCACTCCTGTGATTAATTTTTCCCTACCATCGATTAGTTCTATCCAAATTGTTTCTGTATTCCATTCTGTTTTTATTACCTTATTTATTTTACACTTCAGATTATCCCTGACATAGATTGCTACTCTGCCTCCTTTCCTAATCTGCCTATCAGTATGGAATAATTTGTAACCTGCAATTTGGTATTCGACAGGTAGCTCATGCGAGTCTAGGTTTATCCATGTTTCGGTGAATGCTATTATATCGATTTTTTGGGTACATGCTAAAGCCCTGATTTCATCTATTATGTTTCTCATACTTCTACTGTTTGCGTAGTAGACATTTAAGTTTGTCGTTTTCTGAGTCCTCTCTTTGTCTCGTCTAGGTTTTAACTCCCTACCTAATTTAGCTTTGCCATAATTCCTAGCACTATTTCCCTGTAACCTTTCACTTTGTTTACCCGCTCCCACTGTAGTCTCCTCCACCCCGGTGCTCATATGTTTTCTTAGCAGTTTAAAGGCTTCAACATCTTTTGAACTGCCCTCTGGAGAGAACCAGCTCGGGTTGCCACCCCCATCCCTAGACAGATGCACCCCCATCCCTAGCATAAAGGTCCCTTCTGCCGATGACATAATCCCTTGAGATAAATCATCCCTTGATGATTAAACCACCCCATGAGTTCAAAGACTTAACCCTTTGAATCTGATTTCTCATCTCGTTCAGTACGATACTTTAACACCCTGTGTGTGATAAATTAACACCTTTAATACAATGACTTAACGCTTTTAAATGCAATGTCATCCTGTTCAAAGAGTTAATGTAAACCGGGTATTTCTTCATTCCCTCCAACCACATGACACATCCAGCAACATGCTTATATTGTTGCTATCGTTAAGATTCATTACATTTTCTTCAAATGATAGTTATATTTATTTTATAACATTTATCACTTGTAGAAAATGTGTTGTCTAATGGTAGACCCTGCTGCCATATGGTATCACAAAAATTGTGACCAAGTCCCAGGTTGCTGATCTGATTTTCTGCCTCATTTACACACAATTGCAGGCTCTCAATTGTCTCTTTCTTTTGACCATACAACATATATAACTTTTCTTACTCTTGATCTGTTTTATTCTA